GCTGTCGTTGGGTCCACTGTAGTCGGGCTTGTTGTCGCAGGTGAAGCACTTGTCTGCACTGGCGCCGGTGTCGGGGTCACTGTTGGCGGGCTCGGCGGTAGCATTACAGTTGTGCCTGGGACGCTTGTTGCTGGCGTTGATGCAATGGTTGTTGATGGCGGCTTAAGTGTAACGGGAGGCTTCGACGTTGTCTTTAGCGGTATCGGCGTCCGGGGCTTTACCGTCGCTGGACTCGGCTTGGGCGTAGGACTTGGCACTTGTGTTGGCACGCTGGAAGCTGTCGCCACCGGTGTCGTCGAGGCGCTGGGCCCGGGCGTAGCACTTGGCTCTTGTGTCGGCATGCTCGAAGCAGTTGCTACTGGCGCCGTCGTAGTAGGAGGTTCTGTTGTTGGTGGAAGCGTCATCTCGTTCGGGTCGCCCACTTGCGTCGTGACGCAGGCCGTTGAGTTCGGGTCGCACATTAGGACGACCGAGCCACCCGGGTACTGCGCGGTCCATCCATCGAAGCATGCGGGGTTCTCGATTATAGGCACATCAAGCTGCATGTAGCAGCAGTAGGACGTATCTCCGGCATCGTTGACCACGTACACGCAGTAGTTGAACTCTGTCACGTCTACTGGCCTCGGGCTAGGACTCGTGAACTGAAGCCGCCGCGTGCCCGCCGCCGCGCCAATCATCACAAGCAGCAGAGACCACAGCATCGCAAATCCAAAATGCCAGCGCCCGATCCGGCGCCATCTCGTCGGTGCTGGCCCGCATGAGACCTGCGCAAGGTTCCGTCACCTGATTATCGCACAGCTATCCGGATAAGGATCGCAAAGTCCGGTTACCAAGGCTCGCAAAGGTGTAATCTCCGGTTGCAAGGCTGATCACGACCGTCCCCATCTACCGACAACTTGACGCGCACGAGCTTTCTAGAGCCGTACGGTGACTGCAGGTTGCTGCTGCTTGTGCCATGCAACCGAGGCTTCGAGGAGCCAAGGCTCTCCGGAAACGAGCCGCAGTATCCGTATACACGGAATAATTTACGCTTGTTTTATTAGGCATAATGAAGCGCAGAGAGCAGGTTTTAAATTCAACTCCGGGAAATGGCCTCCGGAGGTCCGTCGCACCAGCCATTCGAGTTTTCGCCATGTCCTTCTTGCGGTAGGCGCGATATGGCGCCCGATGGCAGCTCGCTCATGCTTCCTGTCCTGTAGCGCTGCCACGTTGACGACGAGCCTTTGGTCGCGTAGCGCTCTCGGCTTTGCCCAGCCGCCCACGATGATGTGCATGCAGGTGCGCGAAATGGGCTACAAGCTCAAGACAAAGTCGGGCGTCAAGAAGCGCTTCTTCGTCAACAGCAACGGTCACATCAAGCGCGCTGTGGGCGGTAAGCGCCATTTGGCGACGGACAAGACGCGCCAGCACATTCGCCGACTGGGCAAGGCCGCGACTGTCCTCGGCAAGATGAAGAAGAACATTCTGGCGATGTTGCGCGTGTAGATTGTTAGACCTAGGCACGACGGCGTCGATACTAATACAGCTTTGCGCCCACGTCTTTAGACCAAGGCGAGGACCGCAAGCACGACTACGGCTAGATGTGGCGCACACGCAACGCCGTCGCTGTCCGTCACGCGCGCACTCGTGCCAGCATCACCCGATCGAAGCATGTTGCTTCCTGCAGACGCAAGCAAGCCTAGCAGAAAAAGACATCTCAAATTGGTGCTGCGAGCCTGAAGCGCGCTACATACTCGTCGGCGTCGGGCTTGCGGCGACGATGATGGTTGAAGCGTTCGGCGCTGCTGTGGCGTTGCCAGATTCCAGCGACACATTGGTGATGCTTGCCGTCGTCGGTGCGCTCGTCGCAGACATTGGCGAGAGGAGTTGAGTCGGCGGGGCGATCCCAAAGCCCGCGCTGGACAAGATCGTCGGCGACCGTGCGTTCTCAACGAGAAAGAGATCGGTGCCGCCGCACCACATCAAGAGCGTGTTGCTCACGGCGCTGCTAGTAAAGTAGAAGGGGGTACACCAAGTGGGAAAGCAGTAGGCGGGACGGATTCTCTTGCCGTTGGCCTTGGAGCAGCAATAGCGAGCGTCGTCGTCCCCGCCTTCGTTCTCGATGAACGCGCACTCGGCGTACGCTGGCTGGGGCTGCCAGGCGTGCGCATGAGCGGCCGAGAGGAGGACGACGAGAGAGCACAGAAGGGAGCGACGCATGTCAAATCGTAAAGTGCGTTCGTCGTAGCTCGACGAGCCGATCGCGCGGCCGACTGAGTCGACGATCTCGGCCAGTTCCATGAATGTTGCCGTCTCCACTCGCTTCATGAGCTGCCGTGACCGACAGTGAGTCACATGCACCGCACGTCGGGTGCTCATCTCACGATACTTGAGGGCAATCACCTTCTACTAAGACTTTATCCTGCGGTCGCATCTCTGCAACACCAAACCTGCAGGTTCCTACGAGATCCACAGACACCTTTGTGATCGCGCCGACCCATAGATGCCTGAGCTCGCATCTACCCCGCAGTACTACGCGTACGATCTGCGTCTTCGCTGGCTGCTCAGTGCAAGGCGGGTTGGACGATTGATTGCAATCTGATACAAACGCGGTGTTCTAGATCTTAGCGCCTTCAACGTCGACGGACCAGCCAATCGCAGCCGCCGATGCGAGAAGACGCCTTCGGATTGGTCACGATCCGCACAACGCCATACGATTGGCTCACGCGGCTATAAATAGCTCTCGGGCATTTGGAAGTGCAAGTTGCAGCTTTCAACGATGGAGATCAAGCCGTCGATGCGACACGGGCCGGTGACGGTGCTGAGTCCGAGCAGCCACACGGGCAGCTTCGGGAGCTCGGCGCCGGCGTCGCCCGCGGGGCTGAAGAAGCCGAGCTCGATGGCCACGTCGCTCTTCTCGCTCCAGCTCAAGAAGCTCGTGTCGCGCAAGAAGCGGCGGTTCATCGAAGATGGCTTCGACCTCGACATGACGTGTAATGGTGCGTGACCTTGTGGCAGGAGACTAAGCCGTCCGTAGATGTGACGTCGCGCCTCATTGCGTTCGGGTACCCGGCGGAGAACCTCGAGGGCATGTACCGCAACCACTACAAGGTACTGGGCACTGCGATCTTATTTCACTCACTTTGTTAGGACGTCTTCAACTGCTTTGAGCATCGACACAAAGACCACTACAAGGTCTACAATCTGTACGACAATATAAGCAGCAAGCAGTTCGGTTCTTAGAGGTCGGTAGGTGCTCGGAGCGTCACTACGACAAGGACAAGTTTCACAACCGAGGTAGACAAATGATCTCATCATCTCATCGCAGCGCTGATGGCAGAGTCGCATGGCTAGTCGCCGAGTACCCCTTCGACGACCACAACCCACCGCCGCTGTCGCTGCTCATTCCTGCTTGCCAAGACATTGTGCGAGGCGCCAGCGTTGCGCAGGCTCCTGACATACACGTAGTTTGAGTGGCTTGCGCAGCACCCCGATAACGTCGCAGCGATCCACTGCAAAGCTGGCAAGGTCTGAGACTTGTCGCTTGCCGCCAGAGAGTGCACGCTGTGTGATGTAGGGACGCACCGGCGTCATGATCTGCGCGTACCTCTTGTACAGCTCGACGTGGCTCACGTCGTACGGCGCCATGGGCTTCTACGGCGGCGCCCGGTCGCTCAACCACCAAGTACACAGCGCTGCTCTTTCGTTATTCCACAGAACTGATAAAGCCGCAGGGCGTGACGATTCCGAGCCAGCGGCGCTTCATCGAGTACTTTGCCAGTATGTGCCACAAGGACCAGCCGGAAGAAGCCAAGCAAGCCGAGTTGCACTTGACGCACGCTGACTTTGGGCAACTCTGGGAGAAGCAGTGGCTTACGGACGACCGCACGAGCGACAGCTCCTTCGTACGCTGCTTGCACGAACGCTTTTCATAGTACTATCCTAGATGTCGTCGGGCCGCATGTCCAACGAGCAGCTCGTGGCGCTGCCCAAAGTGTTCGAGCACCTCGCCCTGCCCAAGCCCGTCAACTACAAGCTCGTATCGTGCGTTGTCCACGGTCTGTACCCCAAGAAGAAGCCGGGTACGGCCGCAGATAGTACCAACTCGCAAGTCGAAGCGTTGGCATAGACATGCACGTGTTTGTGCAAGTGGGCTTTGACAAGGCGCTGCAGTACAACATCTCGGTCGCGGGCACGACGCAAGTATCGATGGACGACGCGTGCGAGAGCATGCAGGTGGACAAGCTACAGGTCGCCTCGCTCACTCGAAGGATCCAGAGGATTCACTGAACCCTCAGATTCTGTGCCCGACGGACCGCCAAACGCTGCTGTGCGGCGAAGTCAAGGTCGAGCTCCGCAAGCGCCAAGGCGGGAAGCCCCTCGGCCACTTTTGGTTCCACACGTCGTTCCTGGACCCGGCGCGGCCGCAGCTCACCGTGCAGAAGGCCGACATGGACGTGCTCCTCAAGGACGTCAAGAAGGGCCACAAAAAGTTTGCGGAAAGCATGCACATCGTACTTAGCATGGCGCCAGCGTAAACCAAGCAGCATCATGTATCGGCGTCGCACCTTCTTTCCATTTCGCCTTCGCTGGCCTTCGAGACCGATCGCGACCATGAGTCAGTGTCCGGCAGTGTCCGCACAAGTGCAATGTGAGGATTTTGGCGCGAGCCAATGGAATTCCGTCGAAGTTCCTCCCATATGGTGCCACGTGTGGTTGGCTCGCGGCCGTGAGACCGCTCTTGAAGCGAGAGGGCAAGCCGCCTATCGCCGTCTGCGCCAAGCACGAACGCCCCGCAGATCCTTGCACCGTCGTCCGGTCGTGTTCGGTTCTTAGTGCGCTTCATGCAGTCGGATTCCTGCAGCGGTGCGCTTCATAGAGGCGGCGAGTCGCCGCACGATCGCGATGGCGGAAGATCCACCGCTTGAAGCGCCTGTCGCAGCAGATGCGTCGCCACTCATTCCGCCATCTTGAAGTCCCAAGCGTGACCAACGCTGTTTTAAACATGGCGACTCGTCGCCGTTTGATTGGCTAAAACACCGGATTCAACGGCACCCGGTGGATCATCCGGATAAAATGGGCCTTCAAGGAGGACATCAAGAAGGCGATCATCGCACGGGCGACGATCAGTTCTGAATTTCCGCCATGCTCCGCGCCTCGACCACGCTCCGCCGCGCTGCGCCGCGCCGCGCCCTCTCGACGACGACGACGACGGTCGCCGTGCCCTCGACGGACGAGCTCAAGGCCAAGCTCAACACCAAGCCCATGACGCTCGACTTCTCCGAGACGCAGCGCATCTTCGCCGCCAAGTCCACGCCGCTCCTCGCCCGCGCGTACCTCGTCTTCACGACGTGCCAGATCCCGTTCCTCGTCAAGAACAGTATGGGCCTCATCGACGCGTCGTACAAGGTGCTCGGCGACAAGGTGACCAACTTTGGCCTCAAGTCGACCTTCTTTGGCCACTTTTGCGCCGGCGAAGACGCGGCCACGATCCAGCCGACGCTGCAGCAGCTCGAGAGCGCCGGCATCGGCGCGATCCTCGACTACGCCGCCGAGGCCGACGTCGAAGCCGAGAAGAAGACGCCGTTGAACGGCGTCGACGCCAACGAGCTCCAGGCGCGTACGTACGACTACGCGGACGAAGCCATGTGCGACGCAAACGCCAAGATCGTGTCGCAGGCGATCCGCGACGCGCCCGAGAACGGGTTCGCGGCCGTCAAGTGCACGGCGCTCGGCAAGCCGGAGCTGCTCCAGCGCATGTCGTCGATCCTCGAAGAGACGCAGTTCCTCTTCCACTCGCTCGACACGACGAACCTCAGCGACGCCAAGGAAAGCTACTTGAAGCGTCTCATCGACTGCCCGACGCTCAAGGAAGGCATCAAGCGCTGGGGCGGCAAGTACACGGAAGAGGAGATCGAGACGCTCTTCCGCACGCTCGACAAGGAGCAGGACGGCGTCATCGACTACATTGACTGGGTCTCGCTCCTCAACCCGATGGACCTCACGATGGGCCCGCTCACGCAGTTCCTCAAGGTGGACCCGCTCACGCCCGAGGAGGTCCAGCAGGTGAGCCAGATGATGGCCCGCCTCGAGTCGCTCGCCAACGAAGCGTCGGTGAAGAAGGTCAAGCTCATGATCGACGCCGAGCAGACGTACATGCAGCCGGCCATCGACCACATTACGCTCAACCTGCAGCGCCGCTACAACACGAACGGCCGCGACACGATCTTCAACACGTTCCAGTGCTACCTCAAGTCGGCCTCGGACCGCGTGCTCATCGACCTCGAGCGCGCCAACCGCGAGGGCTTCAAGTTTGCCTGCAAGCTCGTGCGCGGCGCGTATATGGTGCAGGAGCGCAAGCGCGCCAAGGACTTGGGCTACGAAGACCCGATCCAGCCGTCGATCGAGGCGACGCACGCCAACTACAACGCGCTCGTCGAGCTCCTCCTCGTGCACAACCACCGCACGTCGTTCATGGTCGCAAGCCACAACGAAGAGAGCGTCAAGAAGACGGTCGCCAACATGGAAGCGCTCAACATCCCGCGCGAGAACGGCGGCGTGTACTTTGGCCAGCTCCTCGGCATGTGCGACCACATCTCGTACACGCTCGGCGCGGAAAAGTATCAAGTCTTCAAGTATGTGCCGTACGGCCCGGTGAAGGAAGTGCTGCCGTACCTCATTCGCCGCGCGCAGGAGAACTCGACCATGATGAAGGGCGGGTCGGCCAAGGAGCTCGACCTCCTCACGAAGGAGCTCAAGCGCCGCGTGACGTCCTTTGCGCAGTAATAGATAGACGCGTAGACTAGCTTAGATTTAATAGGAATAACTCGTAATATTTGAAACACTAAGTGCTTAGCGACGCTCAGCGCGTCGACTTCCTCGTCGATGAGCTGCACTCGTAGCTGCCGTCAGAAACTTGCGCCAGCGCGCGCAGCAGCGATCATCGCACCGTGCCTGGAGCCCACGACGCCGACCTCTCAGAGCGCCTTGACAACTCGAGAGCCAGGCAAGATGACGTGGCGCCATGCGGTGCACGAGGCAAATGCCACCTTTAGCCGCGACGGAGTCCGGAAGAGCGAAGTATGGCAAATAGGAGGTTGTTGATGGATTATATTAGAGCGAAGGTGGCGTCGACATGTCGTAGTTGTCGTCGAGGCCCACGTCGCCGTCGTACGTGAAGCCCTGGAAGGTGTACGACATGGTCCGGCACGAGTTGGTGCGGCCCGAGACGCTACTTCGGGCGCTCGGTGTCACGGCCATGCTGCTGCCGCTCACGTCGTCCATCGCATCTAGGACCGGGAGGCGCGTAAAATCGTCTTCAAAATTGACGGCATCGAGCGGGTCCGTGTACTGGCATGGCCGGAACTCGGGCTCGACCTCCCGGTTCAGCAGCGCTTCCCACGCCACCTCCTTGAAGAACGGGTGCACGAGCACCTCGGTGGCGCGCAGCCGCTGCGACGGATCGCGCTCGAGGAGGCCCGCGATGAGGTCCATGGCCTCGACGCTCAGCCCGGCGGGGAATTCGAGCGGCGACGACCGGAGTCGCTGGTACAACGTCTCGCGGTCGGTCGTATACCACGGCGGGCGGCCCGTGAGCAGTTCGTAGAGCACCATGCCGAGGTTCCACCAGTCGACGGCCGTGCCGTGGCCCTTCTTGTTGAGGATCTCGGGCGGGAGGTACTCGGGCGTGCCGCAGAGCGTGTTGGTGCCGTCGAGGCGGCCCGTGATGCCGGTCTTGGCGAGGCCAAAGTCGGCGAGCTTGACATGGCCGTGGACGTCGAGCATGATGTTTTCGGGCTTGAGGTCGCGGTACACGATACCTTTTTCGTGCAAGTGAACCAGCGCGAGCGTGATCTCGGCGGCGTAGAAACGCGCGATGGACTCGGGGAAGCACTTGATGCGCGTGAGGTGGAAGAAGAGGTCGCCGCCGGGGCAGTAGTCCAAGATAAAGTAGAGCTGGTGCGTCGTCTGGAACGCATAGTGCTACACACCACATCAGATTCTGGTGCGAACCACATGAGACGTACGAGGCGGACAATGAACGGGTGGTCGATGGACCCGAGCACGCTGCGCTCCGTGCGCGTGTGCTCGACTTGGGACTTCTTGACCACGTCCTGCTTGGTGAGGATCTTCATCGCGAAGAGCTCGCCCTGCGCCTTCTTGCGCACGAGGAGGACGCGGCCGAACGACCCTTTCCCGATGAACCGCAGCGGCTCGAAGTCGTCGGTCGTCGGCTTGGCCACGAGCTGCTCGAAGCTCGGGACGCGCTCCAGCTGCAGCCGCGGGTCCGAGTTGGTGCGCTCGAGCTTGGCCTTGGGCTTGCTCGACTGCTTCCCCGGCTCGGTGCGGTTGAGGAAGAGCGCCGAGATCTTGCTGTTGTGGCTCACGCCGCCGTCGCTCAAGCGCGAGTGGGTGCGCGCCATAAAGTCGGCGGCCGTCCGTCGGCTCGAGTGGCCCTGCGACGACTCTTGCAGCATCGCCGCCATGGACGCCGACGGGCGCTGGTCCGGGTCCGAATAGCTGAACGCGTTGGAGCCGGTCTCGAGCGCAGGCGGCTGGTTCGCATCCTTGGTCAAGAACGTGCGCACAAAGTGCGACATGCCGAGGCGCGGCGCGGTCGTCGGCCGCGCGGGCGGCACGAGGAGCTCCTTGAGCCACTTTTCGAGGTCCGACTGCCGTTTCCGGAGAAAGAGCGTGTCGAACGACCGCCGAATGCCAAAGCGGCGCGACGGCAGCGCCGGAATGCGAAAGCCCTATCGCTTCTTAGTCTATAAGAAGTATGACGAGACGGGGTCGCACCTGACTCTTGAGCTGGCTGCTCAGCTCGCGGAAATCGTGGTATCTTCGGTACACGGTCCAGCGCTTCCCGTTGGCTTGGCACTAGTCTGCTCTGAGATCGTGTGCATATGCAGCGAGCGTGCGTACCTCGACTTCGAGACGAAAGATGACGTACGGTTGCTTGGTCGACGAGTTCATGTTGGTGCTCCCGGATGCGAGCGAGTGCCCCGAGATGCGCACGAGCTGGCCTTGCTCGCCCTGCGGGATGTACGCCGTGTCGGGCACGACGGGCGGCAGCGCTGTCGACTTCTGGAAGTTCGTCGACCAAATCTGTTCGTAGTACTGGCGCTCTTCCTCGGGCTGCGCCGGCCGCTCTTCCTTGGGCTTCATCGGCGTGTCAAAGATGAGGTCCGGCGTCGCGAGGAGGCTTGACCGGTCGCTGTTGAAGATGCCGCTGTGCTCGCTGATGAAGCCCGTCATCGATCGCTCGCTGTCAAAGTGCGAGACCATGCTCAGCTCGCTGTGCATCGACATCTCGTTGCTGTAGTCGTCGTTCATCGAGTCCAAGCTCGCGAGGCTCATGATCGACATACTGCGCGCGAGTGGATCTTCGCCGCCGTTCAAAATCTGGTTCGGGTCATGCAGCGGCGGCACCCGCGTCGCCGACGTTACCAAGTGGCTCCTACGCAGCAGCCGTCAGCAGCGTCCTCGTCGGCGACGCGTCTTACTCGATGACGTTCGGCTGCTTCTCCGTGCGCGGCTCGCTGTGGGCCGGGATGCTCTGCGACGCCTTGCGCTTGACGCTGCTACGTTGCATGAGCCGCCGGTCGCAGGCGCAGGAGCGTGTACCTTTGCTGGGCCATGCTCGCTCGCTCGCTCGCGATCACTTCGCGGCGCTGGGAATGTGTGTGTGGCAGCCTCCTAGATCTGGTTATTGGCCAGCTGGTGTTGCAACTATTGCACCATGGCGGTCGCCAGCGGTGTTATAACGCTGTTAGACACCGGCAAGCGCGCTTTGGACGCGGCTTGGACAGGCGGCGCGCGTGCATGTCCCGGCGCGACGTCCGTCTTGCCGCGCGGCCATCGCCATCGCCGGCACGCCGCGGCGTTATAACACATTCGGCCTCGTCTTTTACCGCGGCGCGTGAGAAAAGCCGGGTCTTGTAACACCAGCTGCTTTCTCCTCTCGCTGCGACACGCGGCGTTCGCCAAAGCGCTGCATACAATCTTCGATCGTCGCCAGAGAGCAGAAGCAACGGCCGAGCTTGGTGGACCGAGGAAGGACCCTTCAGCGAACTGCGCTCGTGCAAGGCGCTGCTCCCAACATGGTCCCACGGCAGGAACCCTGTTGACCACCGTATTGAGGCCGCTGGACGAATCCATATTTGCAGTTTGTTGAAGCGGACTGCCATTGACAGAGATGATTGCACACCGCGCTTCAATGCTTGGCCGATGCGTTCAACAAGACCCGGGCCTCTCGTCGTACACCCGTAGTTAGTAGTGCACTGGGTCGACGACGACTATACTATCGTGGGTACGCCAAGAAGTAGCACGGACGCGAGGCCGGCGTCGGTGGCTCGGCGTCACCGACCGCATTCAAATCTCGAACTGTCGACGACCAATGGCGGGGCAGCTTCACGGATTGGATTGGCCCATGGAATTATAGAACAGCCAATCAAAGGCAAGTTGTGGGCAGCAAAGTCGCCGACCACCGACCGCTCAGTGCATCGGCAAGCTGCCGCAGTCGTCCGCCGTACAAGACGCCACTCTAGAAAGCCTGTGAAGACACGCTCCGTTCGGGAAGAAGCACGCCCTTGAGCTTTTCTTGAAGCGCCCAGAACAAGATTTCCACGACTACTTTGTACCAGTACGAAACGAATTGTGGATCGAGTGCGAACTAGACTCGGTGAACTAGTCTGGTCCAGCTGTCTGGTCCTCTTCTGGCACCGATAAGAAAGGCCGTTCGTGGTTTCGACGAACCGGATCTTATCTAACGCGTTACTTGGCCGATTCCAATGACGGTTCTATGACGATGAATTTTGGCCAATCGGATGGGCAGGCGGTCGGTCGACCGCGTGGCAGATTCGATTTGCCAGCGCGATGGTCGACCTCAAGGTGCTCTCGTTCGTGCTGCTCGTGGTCCAGAACACGCTGCTTGGCATCGTCACCAAGTACTCGCGGGCCACCAAGTACAATGCGACGTCCGCCGTCCTCCTCATCGAGCTCCTCAAACTCGTGCTCTGCTTCATCATGGTCGTCGTGACCAAAGGCAGCGTCGGCGATGCGCTGCGCAGCATCCGGCTCGAGGTGCTCGGCGACGTCGCGGGCTTCAAGAAGATGGTCTTCCTCGCGCTCTTGTATGCATTCCAGAACACGGTCGCGCTACTCTCGTACGACCACGTTGACGTTGCCACGTATAACATTGTCTACCAGCTCAAGATCGTAACCACGGCCTTCTTCATGGTGCTGCTCCTCAAGCGCAGCTTCAACAATGTGCAGTGGATCGCAATGGTGACGCTCATGGTCGGCGTCGCGATCTGCTCGGCGGCGAAAGGTGCGAGCTCGAGCAAGTCGTCGTCGATGTTTGGCGTCTGCATGGTCGTCGGTCTTGCCGTCAACTCGGGCGTCGCGGCCGCGTACTTTGAGAAGGTTCTCAAGAGCCACCAGCCGCACAAGACGTTTGCGAACCCGATCGACCCGCTCTGGAAGACCAACATCCAGCTCGCCGCCGTCTCGGTCGCTGCGACCATGTGCGGCGTCGTGTACGCGGCCACCACGGAGCCGCGCTTTGCCTTCTTCGAGGGCTACAACCCGTTTACGTTTGGCGTTGTCCTCCTCCAGGCGTTCGGCGGGCTCATCATCGCCGCAGTCGTGCGCTACTCGGACAACATCGTCAAGAACTTTGGCACCGCGCTCTCACTCGTACTGAGCTGCCTCCTCTCCAACTACCTCTTTTCCGAGACGCCGGCCCCGGTGTTCTACCTCGGTGTCCTCCTCGTCGTCGGCTCGGTCTTTGTCTACGGCGACAAGCGCTTCCACGGTGCGCCGACGTCGGCGGTGGACGCCAAGCCGGCGCACAGCGTTCAGATCGACGTACACCAGCGCAAGTCGTCGGTGGATGCGGGCGAAGAAGACGCGTTCTTGAACCAGCGTTCGCGATAAGTTCTTGGATGCGTTTGTAGATCGTGATACAATACAGTGCTTTATACAGAGTAAAGTCATTTCGGTGGAATATCGAAACGGCCAAGCCATGAGCGTGGCCAAGCCGTCGCCAGCGCTGCGGCTCGTACTGGACGCGGTCGCTACGCTGCTGCATGCGGTGCATGGACCGTCGACGTCGAGCGCCGTCTCATGTAGCAATAGGACATGCCCGAGCTCGCCGTGACGTGGCACCAAGTGCTCGATATCCTGCAACATGCTTGGGACGAGACCATCGCGACGCTGCGCAGCGTGCCCTTTGATGCCATCGCGGGCGCGACGCACGACCGGCTCATTGCGCTTCTCGAGGATGATCGGTACGACGCAAGGGCGGCCATCGCCGAGGCCGGGCCTGCGTGGCGCGACGTCTGCAGCTACCTCGCCGACGTGGCCGCGGCTCTCCAACATGCGCACAAGACGGACGACACGCGGACGCTCGCGACGACAAACTTTTGCGTCTTTGTCGATGGCAGCCGTACGCCATCGCGCGCCTGCGTACGTGGCTTGACGGTGCGTAGGTACGGCGCGGCTGGCGTGTGACGTGGCGCTTCAACTGCGTCGATCGGGGCGCCTCGAGATCTGCCTCATCGACGAGTTCCCGCCCGCTCCCTGCTACAGCGCAGACTTCATCCTCAACGGTGCAACCGCACATGGTACTTGGCCATTGATCGAGATGTAGATTTCGCCATGTACTGCAAGCAAAACAGCGTCCCCAAGTCAAAGCTAAACGTGCGGTCGCAGGCCGTGCGCCTCACGCAGCCCAAAGCGCTCCAGCTCATCCAGCTGCAAGACAGCGCCGACTTTCTCGTCATGGGGGCTTTTGGTGCCAAGGGACCACAACCATCGCAAGTTGGTTCCACGGCCATGAGCGTCGTCCTGCAGAGCCCGACGTCCATCATCCTCGTGCCTCCGATCGCAGAGGCAGTCCGCGTCCAGCGGGCGCACGTGTTTGTCGTTGCGGTCGACACGCGTGCGGACGCTGCACGACTTTGCTTCCACAGCGCGCTCAAGCTGCTCAAGCCGCAGGACACGCTCCACGTCGTGCACGTCGCGCCTGTTGTCGAGCCGCCGGCCACAGCCGCCGAGTTTCCACTGGCGGCGCTGTACCGCGAGAAGCTTTTAGCGGCGCACGTTCAGGGAGACGTCGTCACGCTGACTGCCGAGAGGGGCTGGACGGTCGCCGAGCACCTGCAAGCGTACGTCGCCAGCCAGCGCGCATCGTACCTCGTCTTTGGGCTGGGCGACCAGACCAAGGCTCGCACCAGCATCGACAACTCGACGGTCGGGAACGTGGCCGCGCGCCTCCTTGCGTCGCCGCGGTGCACGCTCGTGATCTGCAAGCAGTCGTCGCTGACGTAGCCCATACAACCTTAATTTTAACCATCGTAAGTTGCCGGCCATGGGCGTAAAAATAGCATTGCGATCCGCGAGCAGAGAGTATGGGCAGTGCGCAGGGGCGACCGACGGCCGTCCGCAGCTCGTCGCCGCGCCGCGCGAGCGTGCTGGCGCCGACGGCCTTTGACCAGCACGCAGTCCTCGACCCGTCCGAGTCGCTCGCGTTCACGCTGATTCCCAACACGTCGCCGGTTGCACTCCTCACGCTGCACAACGTCGGCGCCACGGTGCTCACGTTCGCCGTGCAGACCAAGGCAGCGCACGCGCACCGGTTCTTCGCCGACCCGCCGCAAGGCATCGTCGGCCCCGGCAAGTGCGCGACAGTCGTCGTCGGGCTCAAGCAAGGGTAATATGCTATTCGGCCTCGTCTCCCACTTCTATCACCATGGCTAGCTTTTGCCGTGCTTTCCTGGCGGCCGCGCCCGACGACCGGTCGCACGAGCCGTACAGCCTGCTCGTCCACGTCGCCGCGTGGGCGGCGCCGTTGCTCGAACGCGACGGAATCGAGGCGTCGCTGAGGGCCTTTTGGGGCGCCGCCAAGACGACGACGGCGTCGCCGCCCGTGCACTCTAAGAAGCTCGCATTGCATTTCCACGTCTTAAAGTACAATGGCATGCTCAACGTCTATGCCTTCGCGAGCTGCTGCTGCGTGTAGCCCCAGAGCAAGATGGCACCGCTCACGTGCACGTTGAGCGACCGAATGACGCCGAGCTGCGGGATCTCGACGCAGTGGTCGACCGCGTCGAGGATCTCGACCGGGATCCCTTCCTTTTCGTTGCCGAGGACGATGACGACCTTGTCCGGGAACTGGTACGTCGTGAGGCTCTCGCTGCTGCTCGTCTGCTCGAGCGCGACGATCGTGTAGCCTTCGCGCTGCATGCGGCGGCAGTACGCGCGCACCTACATCTCTCTAGTCGCATGCAAAGTCGTCGCGAAGGACGTACCATGTCGGGCTTGACCTCTTCCATGGGCACCCACTTGTCGGCCGTGACGCTGATCTGCCGAAACACAATGTCTTGGGTCATGGCCATGTTGGGAACGAGGAGCTTGGACGCGTTGAAGATCTCGCACGTGCGGGCGAGGCCGGCGACGTTCGGGAGCTTGTCAACAAGGCTCGCACAAACCACCACCTGGAATACGATGAGCTGCGATGCGATAGAAGACGTACCGACTGCCGGCGGGCGCGGCGCGCGTTCACCTGCTTCTCGCGCATGTTCTCGCTCTGGTACATGGCGAGCATGTCTTCGAGGAAGCCGGTCGCATGCGGATCGATCTTGCGCTGCACAATGCCGCTGCTGGCCGACGCCTCCTTGGCCAGCTCGGTCGTTGGCGCCGTCGCGAGCCGCTTGGCCTCGGCGACGTTGGTCTGGTACTGCCCGCCGTGGGCCTTGTCTTCATGAAGGAACTGCGCGTATGCGGCCGAGAGCGTTTCCTTGATCTGGCAGAGCACCGAGACGGGGACGATCTCGTCAAACTCGTTGAGCGGGTGGTCGAGGAGGCCTTCGAGGACGCACTCCTTCTCGGGTAAGAAGCTCGCCATTTGCGCGGTTTGGCGCCGGAACATGCGCTTGCACTCCTTGTTGGTGCTCAGGAAGCGCAAGGTCGCTTCGAGAAACGAGACCTCCGGCGACAGCGTCGGGTGCGCGAGGAAGTACGGCAGGAGCGACGTCATGACAAACTGAACGATCGTGCGCGTGTGGCCGTGCGCCGAGTTGAGCCACGGCGCCATGAGCTGCAGTGTTTTCAAATGCAGCTCCGGACTCGCCTCAACCGGCAGCCACCGGAGCACCGAGCCCGCAATGAGGAGCGTCGACGCCGAGAGCTGCGGCATGAGGTGCATGTCACTCAGAAGCGCGTGCACGTACGGAAACGACGAGGCCGGGAAGAGCACGCAGACGCGCATGCAGAAGATCTCGACGTAGTACCGGATCTGCGGCAAATTGTGGTTCAGGAACGCGCCGCGCCAGAGCTGCTCGTGCACCGCTTGAATCGTGTCGGCGCGGAGGTAGCGCGAGAGGATGCAGAGCGCCTGCCAGCTGCGCAGCTGCTTCCCAAAGCCGTCGCTGTTGATCATCTGCGGCTTGGCAAAGGCCGGTGTTCGCTGCAAATTGAGGAGCTTCTCGATGAGCGCGTCCATGATGGGCGCGCACTCGTTCGGCGCGTCCTCCACGAACGCCAGCGCCACAAACCGCACAAACTTGGTCTTGAGCGGCGCCGACTCGTCCAGATAAATCATCCTACTCGTTTGTCAACAAAATATCAAGACAGTATCAAGTGCGCACCGTTCTTTTTCGTCGACGGACGGCTCCTTGTACAAGAGAAGGCGCACGAGCTCGTCAAGGTACGAGGTGGCGCTCTGGGGGTACTGCCGCCAGATGCCGCAGAGGGTCGTCGCGAGGTGGTACATGACGTTCGGACGCTTCCCCGTCTCGGCCCACGACGCCCACTTGTGGAACCACTCCTTGAGCGTCGTCGACGGCTAAGCGTGGCATATGAGGACTGGGTCGCCAACGAGGCCTCTCTACCTCGGCGAGCGTCACGAGGCGCGGCTGAAAGAGACACTGAACAACTGCGTACGAGAGCCCGTCGGGCTTGCGGCTGTCCATGTAGGCGGCCCACACCTGGGCAAAGACCACGTCGATCTGGAGATCCCGTTCCTACAAGCACGGTATGAGGAAGGTCGTCTCCGACGCGACAAACCTCGGCGTCACTAATGCTACAAACGGTGTAGGGCAGCACGCGGCCGAGGACGCGCGCCATGGCCTCGAGGATGCTCGGGTCGCTCCCGGCCGTCGAGAGACCGTCGAGGACGACGTTGAGCGTCTCGCGGAGCAGCGACGTCTCGAGCGCCCAGCAGGTTTCGAGCACGGATGCGAGGATGCCAAACTTGGCCTTGACGCTCACGTGCACAAAGCTGCCGCGCGCCGGCGTCAGTCGCAGCAAGGTCGGCACGAGCGTCATCGGGTCAAACACCGCCATCGAGTCGAGCAACATGCCTTCGGACGCGACGAGCTCCAGCGCCGAGAGGCCCAGCGCTTGCGTCTTGGGCGAAGTGCACGTCAGACCGGTCGCGAGGACGTCGTTGAGCTGCAACGCAAAATCGCAGTTGCCGGTCGCCAGCATGCGGTGCAAGGCGAGGTGCGCGACCAAGTACACGACGCTCATTTGCTCGTTGAGCTCGACGTCGTTCGTCTCAGTCGGCGACGTTAGCCATTGGCTCAGCTGCGCGAGCCCCGGCGTAAACGCTGCCAAGAGACTCTCCGTCACGAGTGTCTGCGGCGACACCTCGTGCAAGGCGCGGAAGAGCGCGCTCAAGTGCAGCACGTCGTCCTTGGTCGCCGCCCAGTTGAGGGACAGGGGCGCAAGCAAATACAGCCGCGCGAGGTACCCGGGCGACGGCGCCGCCGTCTCGTGGGCCAAGTACGACGCGAACGCCGCGTCGATTAGCGGCGCGTACGGGCGGAGATACGCGCCAAACTCGGTCCGGTGCGCGGCAAGGTGGTTCGTGGGGAAGAGCGCGAGGACGCGGAGGAGGACGTCGAGGGGCAGCGACGGCGTCAGCGCCAGCAGCATGTGCTGCAAAAGGGGCAGTAGCACCTTCATCGAGTGCGGGAACGACTGGAGCACGTGGGCTTGCACCATGTAGCGCAGGATCGACCACGTCGGCGCGTCGATTCGCAAGCGACTGTCGAGGTGCTGGAACGCCGAGAGCATCGCGAGGAGCGCGTCGGGCGAGTTGCCGCGCACGTCGTCGCCAAAGATCGCGCTCTGAACGGCGGTGACGTACGCGAGCGGCGAGAGCTGCGACGTCGTCGTCGCGTGCTACTCAATAATAATCTCATATTGCAGTGGACCGCTGAAGTGTACCGTGAGAAAGGCCGCCAGGAACGAAATCGCCGTCGCCTTGACTTGGTACTTGTCGTGCTTGTACAGGAACGGGTCGTTGAGCGCGAGGAGGAGGTCTCGAGTGAGAAACTCGACAGCGCTGGGGGCGAGCGTCCCCTGGAGCGCGTCGGCGTTTACGACCGCCTTCATGCTCTCGACCAGCGTGAGCCGGCGCACGACCGGGTTGTCGTGCTGCCAGCACCGGTTCAAGATGCTTTGGAACCACTCGAACGGCAGCGGGTGCGCGAAGAGGTCGTCGAACGCAGCGGCCGCGACGAGCGACGACGTGAGGAGCGCTGTGATGCGCGGCCAGACCTGCTCGAGGAGGTGTTGCTCCTGGTGGAAGTGGACGACTTCGAAGCACTGGACAAACTCGGTCCACGACGCATGCACGCGCTGTGATTCGGCGGCGAGGCTCACGTGCAACAAGTGCAGCGCCATCTTGCGCACCATCATGTCGTTGCGGTCCATACCGTGACGCACCTAGCGTCATCGCTGTCACCACGTTTACGCTCGTGGGACGAACGTACGATGGTGTGGAAGGCGGGCGCGGCCGTGATGCGCGGGGCGCTCGGCGCGACTTGGCAGAGGATCAAGAGCACATCGTGGAGCTGCATGCGGTCGTGAGAGGCGAAGATGTGCTCCGTGAGCAGCGTAGCGCTGGCGCCGTCGTCGTACGACAGAATCTGCGGCACGATGCAGCCAAACACGGCTTGGCGAAAGTGCTACGCAATCGATTGAGCAGATACATTGAAAGATTGATACAAATACCGCGTAGTCGCCTTGGCACAAGATCGTCTTGCAGACGTCGACGATGCTCCGGACAAAGCCACTCGAGACGAGCCGGCGCTGAAAGAGAATCTCGACGACGGGCCCAAGCCACGCGACGTCGACGCCGCCGGTCTCTGCAAAGCTGCTGAGCAGCGTGCCTTCGAGGTGCCCGATCCACGGCGCCGAGGACGACGACGGCAGTCCGAGCGCGTAGAGCAAGAGACGCAGCACCGGGTCGACGACAACCGCGGGCGTCGCATCGCTCGTCAGCAGCGGCACGCAGATCGTCTGCACGAGCGGCTCCAGCACGCCGAGCACGGCTGCGGGCGACTCTTCGTGCAGCAGCTCGAGGCTCTGCTCCATGACTGCGCACGCGAAGCGCATGTAGTTGGCGTCCTGGATGCGGTCGGCGACCGGCAGGAGGATCGCGAGCAGCGACGCGTCGGCGCACTTGGCCGCGAGATGGCCTATCCAGCGCATGAGCTTCTGCAGGCAGGTGCAATGCATTACCTGAGGCCATGGACGAGACGAGGCCGAGGGCGAGCAGCGCGAGGTCATCGTCAGACGAGACCTGGCGCTTCTGGCAGAGCCCGTACGCAGCTTCGACTTGGGCGACCCACTCCATTCTCGATTGATGCGGCGATTGGCTGGCCTGGCCAGCGTATCCGGTCGAACATTATCCGGAATGCAACGCAATCGGTTGCCAATCAAACAAAATCATTGCTGTGACCTGAACTAGAATTGCGAACTAGACATGCTCAACTATTCCCACTTGTAGTTCAATGACGAGTTCTTGGCAAGATGCATTTGCTACGTGGTTGCCTCTCGGAGGCGCCAGTGGACTCGACTCGTGCACCACTAAAGGCCTCTGGTTTCCCACATTGCCTTTGCTCCTCCGAGGAGCAGCGCCACAATCAGTCGAGGTTGCACAAGATCCAACTGGATTGCTAGAGCTACATCTCTATAACAATATACACTCTTAACGACGCGGTGGTATCCTGTCGTCTCCCCGCTTTGTCCAAGGCGAGATATACGAAGCGACGGATTTTTCGATTTGATTTCTTTAAGTCTCTTGTCGACAGAGAAAGCTGGCGCGTGGTCGCACGTTGTGGGACACGAAGCACGACGCTGTCGACGAGGACAACGACGTCGCCGCTGAAGGCAGATCCAACAACGCTGGTCTCCACGATGACGACGACCCTGCGACAGTATGATCGTCCGGATAAGGTTATCCGGTCACCGGATTCGGCGCCGCGAAAAAAGTAGTGTGTGACCAAGGGTATATACATGTAAGAGATGCATCTCTTATGTACCCTTGGTGTGACATGGCGATCTTTGGCGGCGCCATCGCAGGAGGCAGAAGCATGGACGAAGCAGTTCATTTCCCAATTGGCACCAACATGGACAGCTACGTGGTGCAGAAGCGACTCTCGATGGCGGTCTACGGCGACGTGGTGCTCGCCTGCGCTGCAGCCAACAACCCGGTCGCGATCAAGCGCCTCGATGTGAACGCGACGCTCGGACACGTGAGCTTCCAGCGCGCGCGGGTGCCGACGACCAAGGACTTTGAGCGCGAGCTCGAGGTGTACGAGTACCTCGGGCGCGCCGGTGGCCACGGCAACATTGTGCAGTTTATTGAAACCTTTGAGCACTTTGGGTATTACCACCTCGTGCTCGAGCACTGCGCGGACGGCAGCCTTGTCGACAAGACGCTCAGCGCCCAGCAGCTTCTTTTGCTCTTCACGCAGCTCCTCGACGCGATCTCCTTTCTGCATGCACACGGGATCGCGCACGGCGACATCGCGCCCTCCAACGTTCTCTGCCATGGACAAGCGACGTACAAGCTCTGCGACTTTGGCTCGGCTATCGTGCTCGCCAACTGCACCAGCGACGAGGCGGCAGCGCACCGTCTCCGTGATCTTCAAGCCCTCGGCAGCCTCGTGGCTGCGTACCTCCAGGGCGCTGCGTTTACGAACGGACTCGAGTCGCGACGAAAGCGGCGCGGCAGCGCGCCGGCTCCGCTCGTTCTCTCCCAGCTTCTCGAGTTCATTCGCGTCGCGCCACAGCTTTCGGCGATGGAGCTCCTCGTTCAGTGGCAGCGCAGCTGCAGTAGCGTGCACGAGTCGAGCGTCTGCCGGCCGCTGAAAACTCGTCGGGTGTTTATCGACGCCCTCTAAGTTACCTTTTAGTCAATCAATAGCTTTGTTATTTCTACTCTCTTGTTTAAATATGGTTATATGTGGCTACATATGGCATACACCAACTATAGTTGCTCACTCGATTTCTCGCGCTGTACGACTCGCACGTCGACCTGACGTAGCTTTTCGAACTCCCGAAAGCGCGTTCTATCGCTGACCCAAGTCTGAGCGATTTCATTTTTCAGGTCGATTTGGGCAGCCTGAAGCTGCCGGGCGGGCGAGGCGACGATGTTGCACGGCCACGATTGGTTGAAAATGGTTAATATAATGACCAATAAGACGCGTTTTATCCCCGCCAGAGGTGATGTAATGATTGCATGGGACTCTCAGCAGCGCGGCTCATAAAGACGACGCTACCTCTGCTTGGGAATGGGCGAGGAGGATGCTTGGGTCATGTACACGGTTGTATTAGGTCGACATGTCCCCGCTGACCGTGCTCACACACTGCCACTGCTGCTGCTGGTCCTGCTGCCACATGCGCACGGTTCCGTCGTCACCCGTCGACGCCAGCATCGTGCCCGTGACGTTCCACTGCACCCGCCAGACTTCGAACGACCCTGCGCTCCGAATAAGTCAAATCCCACAGACCAGCCTAGCGACTACCGTGGTCTTGGATCGCGACGGGCTTGATCTCGCTGAGCTCTTGGCGGTTGCTCGTGAGCTTCATGCGCCAGATGCGGATCGTGCGGTCCTTGCTCGCCGTCGCGAGGTAGTGGCCCGACCTAACTCTGTCATTTGGCCCGCGCATGAGGAGGCGCGCGCGTACCGTCCGAGGTTGGGCGCCCAGCACACGTCGTGGATGATGTCCTTGTGTCCAACGAGCTCGGCGAGCACGTGCCACTGCCGCGCCGTCGTGAAGCCCCAGACCTTGGCGACGTTCGAGTTGCCGCCGACGAGAATCATGGGCATGTCGAACCGGTTCGAGTTCCACGAGAGACACGTCGCGCCCTCGGCGTCGGCCATGAAGATTTCCTGCAAGTAGATCTCTGAGCCATTGAAGTCCAAAGAGAAAGCAAACCGGAAGCGTCCACTCGGAGAGGTTCATCGGGTTGGACGCTTCGTACATGCGCACGTAGCCGTCGGCCGACGCGGTCGCCTACGCACGCCTCAGCTCCTTATCATCACAGTCGTACTATGAAGCAGCGTACGAGACGCAGGCCCAAGTGGCGCGGGGCAAACTTGACGTCGTGGACCGACTCGCGCGCGTCCGTGAGCTGCGCCTGCAGCGTCCACGCTGGTGACTGCGCCGCCACTTGTCCTGCATCCGATAGCATGAGTACTCGTAGGTCGAGACGCAGCGCACCGTCAGCAGCAATGAGGGATGCTTGGGACGGCGGCTTGGCCATGGACTCTTCCCAGACGATGACGGTGCGGTCAAAGGAGCACGACGCGACGATCTGGCCGTACTCGGGGTGGGCCCACGTGACCTTCCAGACGCTGGCTTGGTGGGCCGTCCACTCGTACTGCAGCTGCCACTGGGCGTCCTTCTCCCAGATCTACGCAGACGCGGATGAGGCCGTATGCAGGCAGGGCAGGGCGACCTTGATCTTGCGGTCGGACGAGCACGTCGCCAGGCGCTTCCCGTAGAAGTCGAAGCTCATGTCGTGGATGAAGTCGCCATGCTGCGACGAGAAGCGCTGGAAGATCTTCTACGCAGGACGAGCAGCATGAGGCGCCATGCGCAGCACGAGCGCGGTCCGACCATCGCGCTTGGCAAATGGCCGTCTAATAAAATACCGTATTTTAATATAGTATACTCAAACCAAGAGGTCCCGTGGCAGATCCAATATCAAGCCAACAGTGACGATGGCCGCCCGACGTGTGCTCGAAGAGACCGAGGTGTACGAGACGCCGGAGGAAGAGGTCTACCCCGTGGCGCCCGTGGCCCACGCCTATGCCCACATGGACGACAACCTCGCCTCCGAGAGCAACGAGATCGACCGCCATGGCGTGCGCCCGGCGGATGCGTTTCACGCATTCCTTGGCCGGTCCATGTCGGTGACCAAGGAAGAGGTCAAGGTCGTGCCCCGCGGAGACCTCGAGACGCCGGCCATGCGCTACCACCGCTTGCAGATGGAAATGGGCGAGCTCGAGGGCGATCTGGCCCTCTTGCAGACCATGGCGCAGAACGACCCGACCGCGCCGTCGTACGCGTCTATGCTGCAAGGGCTCCATGCATTGCAGCAAAACCTGAGCCAAATGGACCTTGGTACAACGTCCGCGCTGACGCAGAGCAGTCAATCCATCGTGCAGCAGCAGCTCTCGACGCAGCTCTTCAAGGACTTGCAGGCTTTTCGCGACCAAGCTGCGACCGGCGAACAGCCCTCCGACGGCGTCGTCGTACGTGACGTCTCGTACCTCTCTTGTGTGACGCACTGTGCCTAGTACGAGGTCTACGCGTTGCCGGAAAGCCGCGAACAGAAGCATGCGACCGTGAAGCTGGCGTCCATCGAGCAGCGCTTGGCGCAGCTCGAGAAGGCCGTTGGCGGGCCAACGGCGTCGCACTCGATGCTCCACGCCATCAACGACGTACGCTCCACTCTACTCAAGCGGGTCTAACCTAGTGTCTAGCTTGAAGGTCGCATGGCGTTGCTGCAGCCAACCGAGCTCGACGCGATCTCATCGCGCGTCTCGGCGCTCTTGCACGACCTCACCGCGGTGAGCAAGCTCCAAGACTTGCATGGTACGGTGCAGCAGTCGATTCTCACGGCCCAAGAGAGCTCTCAGCTCAACGTCATTCGCGAAAAGCTTCAGGCACGACCCTCCTCCTAGCACGCGCTCATGTGAGAGTGTAGAGTGTGAGTGCGACTGCGGCGGCGCTGCCTGCTCTCGTCGAGAAGCTCACATCGCTGCGTGCGCTGCACCAAGATGCCAGCACCTTCAGGTAGCCTTGTCCTTATATGGGTCACTCCTCTGCACAAGGTACTGCCTAGCACGCGGCTGCAGACGCTGGAGGCGTCGCACGACCATCTCAAAGACGTGCTCTCGACCGACGCCGCCCTGCTTCGCAACGTACGTTCCTCTCACATCCATAGGAGGCATCCATATCCTGCGCGGTATCGTAGATGGAAGCCAACTTGGCGGCCAACGTCGCCGTCTTCGCCGCCAACATGGACGCGCTCGACAAGCGCATGGACGCGCTCCTCCAGAAAAGCAGCTAATCGGTCGTTATCCACACGCTACTTTCGCGGGTTGTTGTCGTCCGTCTCGTCGAGGTAGTCGTTGAGCGCATCGCGGAAGCTCTGGATCCCGACACCGCGCGGCGACTTGAGGCTCGCGGAAGCAAAGAGGCGGTCGACGACGCCGGGCGGCAGCTTGTACCCGATGCGGCCAAAGAGGTCGGCGAGGTACTGCTTGGTCCGCGGCTGGCTAAACTCCGTGTCCTTGGCACCCAGCGCCGCGTACGCATGCGGATACAAGAGCTCCTGCGCCATGACGTCGTCGCCATAGTTCTACCGCCCAGCAATATGGTTGGTCGTACTATCGAAGAGAATATGCATCGTATACCTGGGCGTCGGCCAGCGACCGCTTCTGCGGCGGCGCCACGTCCGACCGAATGCTCGGGACGCCAAACGCCCGGTCGTCGGCCGTTGCGTTCATCCAGCCGCGGTTGACGGGCCGCCCGAGGTCGGCGTCGGGCTGCTGCTCCTCGAACGAGTAGCTGCCTTGGATGCACTCGCCCGCACTCGCCAAGTCTTTCGGCAGCTTGACGCCAAAGATGTGGTCGTTGTTCTCGCCCATCGGCTTGGCAAAGCCGAGGTTGCGCGGGCGGCCGAGCTGATCGAACGTCGACTTCATGTCCTCGACGTTCTTGCTCGTGATCGTGAGCTTGGAGACGTGCTCGTCGAGCTCCGGGTTGAGCGCAGACGCGACGCCGCCATCGTCCTTGACCTTCAGCGCGCCAAAGCGCGCCTGCGAGAGCTCAAAGGGTACCTGGTACGATCGGTTCTTTTGCTCGCCGGGGTCGGACGCGCCGTGGCTGCGCTTGTAAAGCGCCTTTGCGTCCGGCGTCTCGTTGAAGGGCGTGGCGTAGATGAGCTCCTTCGTCGTGTCGATGACCTCGGGTGGCGGCGACCCAAAGATCGACTGGTTGTATACGTGGCCGCGCGTGTACGACTTGCCGAGCGGCTCGCGCTTGGTGCTCTGGTACACCGCCTCCAGCTTGGCCTGCGTGATGAGCGCGTGGTCCGACGGCAGCCTCGGCGGCATGACGTCCTGCAGACACATCGTCTCGGACCAGTTGTGAGGATAGATGTACCGTGACGTGGTCGCTGTCTTTGGTCGTGACGCCGTACTTTTTGTTCATGTCGTGGGCCTTCATGTCGTCGACGAGGCCCGAGTGCACGATGCGCGTGCCAGGCTCGGCAAAGTACGACTTGCGGTACTTGCGCACCGACTCGGGCGTCGTCGGCCGCGCCTCAAAGCTGAGGCAGTGGGCCGTGGACTCGTTGGCATTGGGCGTCTGCTTCCTCCCAGCGTTCTAGTCGCAGGTGAGACGTGCAGTCGCCAAGGTGCTAAGCTCTTACGGCCGGTAGCGGCTGGCGGCGCTGGCTCATCCCGAGTTGGCGTAAATTTAGTGGAAGCCGTTTCAGGACGCTGCCACGACATGTGCCGAATGAAGCGACTGACGTGGCACATGCCGCTTTGGAACCGAGCTCAACCGGATACCTGCCGAATCAAAGGCCAAGTCGCGCGTATCCGGATGACGTGGCTAAACATAGAGCAACCAAAATAGGCTGCTGGGCGATCGATGACCATATTGCAACTCATGGGCGACGAGAAGCGGTCGGCTGTCGTCATGGCCGCTACCACGGACGCGCCGAGCGTGACGGAGCAGGAGGCGGCCAGCGCGCTGCAGGCGCGGCAGCATCTGCGCCGCCACTTTGGCTACCTCCCGATCCCGATCGCGTTCTTCCTCGTGTTTTGCGGCATGGCGCTGACTCATGTGCCAATCAACAAGATGTATCCCGCCGAGACGGGTCTCTACTCGGCCTTGGTGACCACCGGAACGGTATGTCGGTGCTGCTTCACATGCCTCTATACGAGTGGCTAGGACGCGATCACGACAGCAACAACGATGAAGTACGGCAACATTGGCAGCCAAAGCGACGTCTTTTCGTGGCTCACCGACACGTTCATCCCGACAACGTTCGTCACGACCGACTACAACGGCAAGAACCTCACCAACGCCGAGTTCTTCCGGCGCATCCAGCTCTTCCACTCAATCCTCGGGGCCGTCGAGTTTCAAACGACATCGGCGAACCTTGTCGCGTGCACGGGCTCGGGCCCGCTCCAGACGATCTACCCGCACTGCCACGACGTGGGGGACGTCGTGACCGAGTACTTTTACCTCGACGCAGGCACGACTGCGACCGAGGCCGCGGCGCTCGTGGCCGCCAAACAAGCCAGCGGCTCGTGGCTCAGCCTCGCTACGACCAAGCTCGACATGACGCTGGCGACGTACGACGGCGAGCTCAAGATTATGAACATCGTCACGTACGCGCTCTCATTTGGCCTCGGTGGCTCCATCCACCTTGAGAGCGATATCGTCGCTGTCCCCACCGACCCGTACGATGGCGCTGGCCCCATCGTGCTCGACGTCGTCGTCGGTCTCTTCTTCCTCGGGACGCTTTTCGCAGAGGTGCGCCGAGGCCGCCAGCGCCGGCTGCGTGATTTGGTCGGCTTTTGGCACGTCATCGAGTGGGCGTCGCTCGTTGCGATCCTCGTCTTTTACGTGCTCTGGGCCATCCTCTGCTCGTACATTTACGACGGCGACTTTACGATCCTCCTCACGGCGGTCGGCGCCAGCGGTGCAAGCTTCAACCACGGCACGAACGCGACGAGTGCGCGCGCCAACCTCACGCAGCTCACGGGCCGCATCAAGCTCATGGGCCAGGTCATGACGAGCGTCCGTGTCGTCGCCATGGTCGTCATGCTGCTCCTCGTCACCCGGTACACGCCATCAAGTTGCATGGATGTATGGATGTTTGGATATCACTAGGATTCTGAGCGCGATGCGCTTCCACCCGAATCTGAACGTGCTCACGTCGACGCTCGCGCGGTCGCTGAGTCTCTTTGGTCCGTTCTTCGTCGTCTACGCAGTCTGCGTCGCGGGCTTTGTCTCGGCGGGGCACATCCTCTTTGGCGCGCGCCTCCGCGCGTTCTCGACGATCGGGTACGCGATCGTGACGGTCATCAACCTCTCGTTCGGGCAGTTTGACTTTGCTTCGATCGCCGACATCAACTACTACGTCGCGCTCTTCTACTACTGGAGCACGCTCATCGTGCTCTTCCTCGTCCTCTTCAACCTCATGCTCGCGATCGTCCTCAAGTCGTACGACCAAGTCACCGAGACGACCGCGGCGAACCGATCGGTCCTCGCCGAAATGACGGTCGTGGCGCGCCATGCGTTTGGCGCCGACAAGATGGCAGCGCTGCACGCAAAGCTCATGACGACCAAGGCGGCATGGAGCGCGAAGGAGTTGGCGGCGGACCTCGGTATCTCCGAGGCGCGCGCGCTCCGAGCGATCCGCGACGTCAAGACGCTCGCGCAGGTAGTAGTACGCTCGGCTTACCCGTGCCAACTACGTGAGTAGGTCCAACGCGCGCCAGAAAATCTACAACCGGTCGACGACAGAGACAGTAGTGTCGCGCGCCTCGAGGCCAAGATCGACCGCTTGGAAGAGGCCATGACGCAACTGCTCGTTCAGCTGCAAGCCACAAAGCCCGTCGAGGTCGACGTGTAATCAAAGCCATTGGCATCGACCTGTTGAGACGCGAGCGTCAATGAGCAGCGTTGTTATCCCAGGTCTTATCGTCCACGTGACAAGAGGACGCTCTGCAGCAGCTGCTTACGAGGCGGCAGTCGGGTTGATGAGGTCCTTCATGCGTTCGCTGAGCGCCGTGTACCACTTGTGGTACTCGAAGATGTCGCCCTTGCCTCTCCGGATCTCGACGAGGTGGAGCGAGTCGGCGAGCACGTAGATCTGCACCGTGCAGCCCACCGCGCCCTTGGGCGTCGTGAGTGTCGCCTTGAGCTTAAAGTTGGCCGAGTCCGCGTGCACTTCGCAGCCGGCCATGGCCGTCATGTGGTTCGTGATGCTCGTCAGGATCGTCGACGCGTCGAGCGTCGACGTGAACTGCGTGCTGCGCTTGACGCGCTTGTCGTCAAAGGACTGGAACATGCGGTTGAGCGCGATGCCACCGCACATGTTGATGAGGTCGAACGCGTTCATCATCTTGGGGCCGGCCTCCTTCTTGCGCGTGCTCTCAATGTCGGCGTGCTCCTGAATCGCAGAGTCCAAGTCGGCCTGCGACGGCTTGAGCTTGAACTTTTCGATCGACGGCTTGGAGCGCTCGACCGGTTCGTCGCTCTCGAGGTGGTTGAGCACCGCGCCTGTAATAGTCCGATAAGGACGCTAGGATGAGGAGGAGGACGGGCGCACCGTGGGCCGGCGCGCGCTCGAGCTTGTTGGTGTCGTCGAGGTACCACTCGTCCTGCTGGATGTCCTGAAGGGTCACGCGCGTCTCCGGATCCGGCACGAGGATCTTGTTGAGAAGCGTCTTGACGCGCGGCGAGAACCAGCTCGGGTACGAGAACTCGGCCTTTTGGATCTTCCGGAAGAGCGCCGACATGGTCGGCTCGTCGAACGGGAGGAAGCCCGCGAGGAGCACGTACAAGATGACGCCGATGGACCAGACGTCGGCGGCGCGGCCGTCGTAGCCCTTGTCCGCAAGCACCTCGGGTGCGACGTAGTTGGGCGTACCGCACGTCGTGTGGAGAAGCGACGCACGCGAGCCGTCCGTGCCGTCACCACCGCCTTCGTACAGCGCGCTCAAGCCGAAATCGGAGATCTTGAGATCCCCATTCTCATCAAGCAAGAGGTTTTCTACCGCACATGTAAGTGGTCAGTGGACGAGATCCACCAGATGATGCGGATCATACCGGGCTTGAGGTCGCGATGGCACACGCCCTGCGAGTGGCAGTACTCGACGCCGTTGACGAGCTGGTGAAAGTAGAACCGGGCTGTCTCCTCGTTGAAGCGGCCTTCGCTCACAATCTTGTCAAAGAGCTCGCCGCCCGTGATGAGCTCGAGCACAATGAAGATCTACGCCCGCGTGAGATCCACCGCATGATGCTGCTGACGGTCGACCTTGGTGCGACTGGCGAGGACCTCCTTGAGCACGACGACGTGGCGGTGGCGGACCATCTTCATGATCGAGATCTCCTTCTTGATCTGCGCCCCCATGTTCTGCTTTTGGATTTTGTCCTTGTCGAGCACCTTGATGGCGACGCGCTCGTCGGTCTCCGTGTTGACGGCGTACTTGACCCTGCACGTGGCAGCATGAGCCTTCGCCCGCGAGGCCATCGTACGTACTTGCCGAAGGTACCCTCGCCGAGCGTCTTGCCGATCTCGTACTTGCCCACCTTCTTGACCATGGTCGTTTCGATCGCCGAATGAAGTCGTGGCTTGTGATATCCTCGGAATTAAATCATTTTATTTTATTACCTAGAAACCACTATTGACTCTGCGGTTTTGTAAGCGCCAGCGTCCGAAGGGGAGGCTAATCGCACGCGACTTGACGCGAATTGCAGCGCGCCAAAGCGAGCAGGCGTAGTACTGACAGATTGAAGACACAGTTGTCGCATATAACGAGCACCTACACGGGATTCTGCGCCACGCTAGAGACAGTCGCCGCGCCAATGGCCGCCACGTTGGGCCGCGAGTTGCGTGCGTATAGCCTCAACCCATCCCTCTCCATTACAGAGTCTGCATTTATTAAAAACCGCTGGGACCAGAGCACTCTCTCAGAACAGTTCAACATGTCTTGCTTTGAGATATACATACATTTGTAATGCGTTTCTATGGGCACAATAGGAGAAAGTACAGCGTTGTTACGAGGGAGTTGCTCTACAAAGCAACGGGATCGCGTTGGGTCTCTACGTGGCCAATCAGGAGAAGGCGAGTGAAGCGAAATGCTGGCCCGAGCGACGACCGTGGGGCTGGTCGGGCTCCGCCGCAGCGGCTGGCACCAGGTCCGCCACGTGCACCAGCGCCAGTTCAAGTCCTACGAGGCGCTGCGCGCGGATTTCCACGAGTGGCTCAAGAAGGAGGTCAAGCTCGTCTCGCTCTTCCTCGCGACAGGCCTCTCCGTCGTCTTTGCCTACGCCTACCGTGACAACTCGCCCGTGCGGCAGATGCAATACATCTTGGCCGAGGCCACGGCGGCGGCCGAAAGCGGCGACAAACAGCGAGCGCGCCAGCTCACGCAGCGCGCGTACGCGATCGCAGGCTCCGTGAGCGACCGCGGTACGCCGTTTGCTACAGCCTCAGCTCGTGAGCTCGCTCTATTTAGAGCCCCATCTGTACGAGCTGGCCTTCTCCATTGCCGCGCAGTACGAGGCGGCGGGGCAGTTTGACTTGGCCAAAAAGTTCTACCACGAAGTACAGCGACTGCGCGCCCTGCGATTGACGACCGCGCGTAGGCGATGACGCATGCGGCGTACGCCAAGCACGCGGCCAAGCACGTGGGCATGTACCGCATGGTAACGCTCGACCGCATCGCCGAGTGCTGCCACAACCTGTACACAGTCTGGCGACAGCATTACGCTGACGCGTCTGCCGGTAGGGGCGATGTGCAGGGGGCCGCAACGTATTACCAGCGGGCGCTGGACGTCTACGAGAAGGACCGGGGCACGAGAGAGCTCGCGAAGGACCAGATGGACTCCGAGGTCTGTGGGATCTGGTTCAACTACGGTACGATGCTTGCTCGTGGCTGAGCGTCGCCTCACGGGATGCAGCGCGCCTGTGCATGGACAGCCGTCAGTACACCGAAGGCGGCCAGCTTCTCCGGAAAGCCGCGCAGTGCGCGCGAGAGAACGATCTCCCAGACGACAAGCGCGCGCAGATTCACGAGCTTGCGGCGCAGCTCGGCGCGGTACCGCGTCCGACGTTCAACGCGCTCGTCGGCGGGGGCGTCGACATTTAGCTTGCACCAAGCATTAAATGTTCATACAACAAAAGCCTCTTGTCGTTACGACTTGGTCGAGGATGACACTAGGCGTTGGGCTGAAGGGCATTCCGGAGGCGGTCGATGACGCCCGACGACGTCGCTTGGTCGAGGATCATGGCCACGGTGCGGCCTTTCCCGTCGACCGCGTGGACGTCCGCGCCGGCGGCCACGAGCGTCTTGACAGCGCCGGCACTCGCCATCTCGACGGCGTAGTGCAGCGCGGTCTTGCCCTCGGGGCACACGACGTTGAGCTCGTCCTTGGTCAAGAATGGAATGAGCGCGTCGAGGTACTCGGACTTGTTCCAGGAGGCAAACTTGTGCAGCGCCGTGAGCCCGTATGCGTCGGCGCCGGCGGGGTTGACACCTTCCTTACTGAGAAGGGTCGTCTTCGTGAGGTGGAGGCGGATGTCCTCGAGGTCCCCGGGAAAGTCGATGAGCTTGCTCAGCGGCCGGCGCTCGTCGTCCGAGTTGGTCGTTACGCGCCCCGAGAACGTCGTGCCTTCGTCGGCCTTGAACATGGTCTTGAGCACTGTCGTTGTCTTCTTGAGCTTGACCTGGCCAAGGCCGCCAAGACCAAAGATCGACACCTTCTTCGTAACGTCGTTTACGCTCGGCGGCGGTGGCATGGTCTCGGCGCGGTACGCAGCGCTAATGGCTTGGACTTTCTCGAACTCGACCTCGGAGCAGCGGCTCCGGTCGGCGAGGTACTCGTTGAAGGTGGCGACGATCGGGTTCTCAGCGTTATCGTGGCTCACGTCCTTCGGGCCGCGGTTCCACTTGTCCGTCACAGAGAGACGCGCGCCGTTGGCAAGAAGAACGTTGGCCGTCTTGGCGGCGCTCTTGTCGCCGGAACCAGCGCAGAGGTGCAGCGGCGTCTCCCCGTACGCGTTTTGGGCGTTGATGTCGACGCGGCCATCGGCGTGGAGGAGCGCAATGGCTTCCAGCGATGCGTAGAGAGCGGCCATGTGCATGCCCGTGTCGTTGTTCTTTGACGTCTGGCGCACGTCGACGCGCGGGTCGGCGAGCAAGATCGCGAGCAGCTTGGCGTCGTCGTTGAGGCACGCGTAGTGGAAGGCTGACTTGCTGTCCTTGTCGACCTTGTTGATGATCTCGGCCGTCAGCTCGGGCGAGGCCAGGAGGGCCTTGACCTCGTCCAGGTCGCCACAGGCTGCAGCATCGACGAACGCGCTCTCGGCCGGCATGGGTCCCACAATCAAATTTGAAGCTTGCCTTGCGTCTTCACGTGTTGCTTATGTGTGTTTACTACAAGTGTTTTATACATACATTATCCAGATAAAATATATCGAACAGTTTTTTACTCACTGCAAAAACACATACCTGACAGTGCATTCAGTGTGGGAGGTCGTCCATTTAGTTGGCGAATTGCGGCAGCGACCATGGAGCTCACGATCGTGTACGTGCATGGCCTGTCGCTGGGCAGGCGGGCAGGCGCTCATGCGGCAAGTGGCGCGTAGGAACATGGTGGGCAGCGGCTCCTTGGAGAACAAGTTTGTGCTCTCGGAGGTCGTGGCCAAGACGGGCAAGCGCGCCGAGCTCATCCCGAAGAAGAACTGCGTGCTCTTGAAGCTCACGAACCCGCGCGCGTCGGCGATGCTCTTCCCGTCCGGAAAGGTACGCCACGCGTATCTTCGTCGCTATGTATTTAGCGCCGTATACAGCTGGTCGTCACGGGCGCCAGCACCGAGGACATGCTCAAGGCTGCGGCGCAAAAGTGCACGCAGATCCTCAAGAGCCTCAAGTTCCACGTTGGCCTCATGCACTTCCGCCTCGAGAACGTCATTGGCCGCGCCGACGCCAACTTCCGCATCCTCCTCGAAGAGCTCTCGCTCGCCCACCCCGACATCACGACGGTACGATTCGCATGCAACGGCCTCTCGTTATGCATCGTCGCAGTACGAGCCCGAGCTGTACCCGGCGCTCATCTACCGCATGCCACGGCCAAAAGTGCACATTCTCATCTTTGTCAGGTACGTGCTATCGTCTTCCTGCGTCCTTTCTGAGGCATAAGCTAGCGGCAAGGTCGTCTTCACCGGCTCGCGCGACGCCCGGGACCTGCGCGAGGCCTGCTATCTCATTTCACCTGTACGTACACCCTTGATATCAGCGGCTCATGTGATGCGATGAAGATCCTCGAGCAATTCCGTGACTCCAAGCTGCCCAACGCTGACCACCATATTGGTCACGCCTTCGAGACGGCGACGCCCCGCGACTAATACATCAACCCCTAAGATCTCACATGCGTCGATTCCAGGCTCCAGGTGCTCGGTGCACTGTCGTGATGCAGGACGAAGGGTACACCTGTGGAAGGGGTCGTTGGACCAGCTTAGCGCGTCGAGAACTTTTGCGACATGGAGCCTTTCGTGTGGATGCACGAGATAGCTTCGGCGAGGAAGGGCGCGACGCTCAGCGTCACAATCTTGTCCGACTTGGCGGCTTCGAGCGACTCGGGAATCGTGTTGGTCGTCACGAGCAAGTCGAGGTCGGGGCACGCGTTCACGTCTTCGACCGCCTAAGATCCGAATGGGCTCGATGCCTCCGATCCAAGCAGCAGTACCGTCGACGAGTACCGGCCGTGGACGCAGAACGCACTCACAGACGATGCACCCTGGCTCTTGAGAAGCTTCGCCACGTCGATCAAGGTCGAGCCTAAGGAATAAGATCGTATCCGCTCGCTCACGGTACACAGTTTGTACCTGTGTCGATGAGGTTGTCGACGACGATGCAGTCCTTGCCCTTGACGTCGCCGACGACCTCGCCCGGCTTGGACCGGTCGACGTGGTGCTTCTTGACGACAATGGCCATCGGCAGGCCTACGAGATGGCGATACGGTCATGCGGCAGGCAGAGCGTCGTACTGTCGTCGTAGGTGCGCGAGAGGATGTCCCGGAAGATGACCGACTTGGGCACGGCGGACGCGTGCGGCGCAATCACGCACGGATTCGCGAGCTGGCGCTCGGAAAAGTAGACGGACCCAATCGGCGACGCGCCAAGGTTGTCGACGGGGATCGTGGGCTTGAAGAAGCCTTCGATCTGCGCGCTGTGGAGGTCGACCGTCACGACGTGGTCGACACCCATCTCCTCGAGCATGTGGGCAATGTCCTAGAAGAAGGTGAGACATACCTGCATGAGATACGATTCGTACGGCCGCCGCAATCGGCTCGCGGCCTTTGATCATGTCCTGGCGTGCGTAGCCGTAGAACGGGATGACGGCGACGATGGTCTTGGCCGACGCGCGACGCATGGCAGCGATCGAGAGCAGCAGCTCCATGATGCGGTCGACCGTGATCGTCGAGCAGACGATGTAGACCTTCTGGCCGCGCACGTTGGCGTTGACCGCGATGCTTGTCTCGCCGTCCGCAAACTTATTGACGGCCATTGGGCTCAGCTCGACGCCCAAGTAGTCGGCGATCTCGTCCGCGATCGGCGTCTCGCCGCATTTGAAGAGCTTGACCGACTTGGCGATATCCGGGTGCATCTTGCCGCGGTAAAAGTGCCAGCGCTTGGTCGTGAGCGTCTTGCTCTCGGCGGGCGACGACGCCGTCAGGAGGCCCAGGCCCATGCCGAGGGCCATGGCGGCGCCGCCGAGGGCCCGGCGCGATGCGAGAGTTGCTGCCATCATCGTGGTCGTCTTGTTTCGGCAACTGTGCGATGGCGAGAGTTGATATTGAACCTCTAAAACTCGATGCAATATCAACGGTCGAGAGGTTGCGATCCTCAAAGCAGGCAGCGCGCATGCAGCCTCCGGCCTGTGCTTGCGGCGTCGGATCACCCCTGCGACGCCGGCGTCTCGGAGGAGGCCCGGCCGCCGATCCCGCTCCGTCCCACTCTTGCGGACCATCAGTCTTGCGAGCCACACCAATTGCCGTTCGCGATAAAAAAAAGTGTATTTTAGTGTAATGACATGCATTGCATAAGATCTTAGAACGGGTTGGAGCTTGGCTTTTCAATGTAGACCCAGAGCGTGATGAAGATGAGGCCAAACGCGATCATCGACTGCCCGATAAAGTTGCCCTGGTCCATGAGGCTGTGGTAGCTCCACCCAAAGTACTCCTGGATCGACATGCGCACGCTGGGCCCGAGCTTGGACGCGATGAAGATGCCCATCATCATGGACGCCACGAGGAGCGACGCGCCGTGCGACGTCTGGAGCGAGTTGTACGTGGCGAAGAAGCGGATGAGCGCCCAGATGACGCCAAAGACGTGCGCGAAGAACATGACGACGTTCGGGAGCTCGGTCGTCGACCCGCGGGACGAGCTGCCCGTGACGAACCACGTGGGCTCACGGCCCGTGAGCTTCCACCAAAACGTCTCAAAGACCGCCGACGTGTGCGTGAACGCGTAGGCGAACCACGCTTCCTGCGACCGGACGACGTCGTTGTTCTCGACGGTGCGGTTGCTCATCGCCGAGAGCATGCCCTGGATGAGGAGCTTGGGCACGAGCGCGTAGAGGAGGCGGAGGCCGGCCATGTAGATGGGCGCGTAGCCCGTGAAGAGGAAGTAGAGCGTGATGTAGTAGAAGAGGACGGCGCAGATCGACCCGATCGGGTAAATCGTCGAGTTGATGTAGAACACCTTGCGCATGAAGCCGTGCTTCTTGGGCTTGGGCGGCACTTGGCACACGGGTCGCTGCCAGTCCGGGTCAAAGTAGTTCTTCTTCTTGTTCATGAGCATGATCTGGAAGTTGCCCTTCGCCCAGCGCTTGCGCTGCGCGAGCGACGACGCGACGTTGTCGGGCACGAGGCCTTCGGCGAGGCGGATGCGCTCCGACATTTCGCCTTCAAAGTCCTTGCGGAAGTAGAGGCCCTTCCAGCCCATGCCGCAGAGCTGCATGCCCGTGTAGCAATCTTCCGTGAGCGACCCGTACTGGATCCCGCCGATCGAGTCGAGCGCCTCGCGACGGAAGATGGCGTTCGTACCGGCGAACGACGCGCACTCGTACCCGTCCTGGCCCGTCTGGATCGCGTCGTAGAAGGTCGCGTTGCGGTGGCCGAGCGGGTCACCGATCTGGAACTGGACGCAGTCGCGGAAGTACTGCGGCGTTTGTACAAAGCCGACCGCGTTGTCGCGGACCTCGTCCGAGTAGTTGGAGTTGGCCGTGAGCCCGTCCTCGAGGTTCTCGGCGGTGTTGCACTTCTTGCAGACGCCGTACTTGTCGACGTTGTTGCCGCACGAGACGCACTTGAGCGTCTTCTCGCCCTTCGTGTGCTTCTCCGTCATCGTGCCGTTGACCTGGCGGCGGTGCAGCGCCGACGCCGTGTGCATCGAGTTCTCAAAGCACTGCTGCGAGCAGTAGCTCATCTGCTCCTCCGGGACGCCGGCGATCTTGCACGACGCGCAGCACATGCGCGCAATGTTGTTGCAGCCCGACGTGCAGCACGTGTACTTGACCTTGCCCAAGCGCTCCTCCGAGTCGAAGAAGAAGGGCAGCGTCGCGAGCAGAAACTTGGGGTGCGGCTGCATGTCGTTGTCGAGGATGAGGCAGTAGCGGCCGATCGCACCTTCGTTGTAGCACGCGTTGTTGATGTTGCCGGCCTTGGAGTAGTGCGTCGGCGGCTTGACGCGCCCGACAAACGTGACGTGCGGGAGGCCGCTGTACTTGTAGTCGTCGCGGAACGAGCCGAGCGAGCAGTCGATGCGGGGCACGACACGCGGGCGCGACGCCGACGGAAGGTTGGCCGACGAGTGCAGCTTGCGCCACGCGTACACCTCGAGCTCCTCGTTCGGGTCGCACACGCGGTCGTACATGAACTGCGCAATCTCTTGGCGGAGGTCGCCGGCCTTTTCGATGACGCCCTTGTTGAGCTCAATGTCCGGCACCGGGTTGCCCTTGGTAAACTTGGTCTTGCAGTAGCCGTCGTCCAGAATGTAGATCTGGAGCAAGTGCGGCGGGTACTGGATGTTCATGCACGCTGCGAGCGTGTCGATCGTCTCGTCGGCCGGCTCCGAGTAGTGGCAGATGAAGATGTCGACGCGCGGCCACTGCTCGTCCGGCAGCTTGGGCTCAAACTCGTCGAGGTAGTGCGCGCCACGGCGGACCGGCTTCCACATGCCGAGGTAGTAGATCGCGCCGAGGACAAAGCTGATGAGTTCGGCGACGAGGAGGCAAAAGTACGAGACCCACTGTGGGATCGACGGCGACGCAAAGCAAGCGACCGTCTCGACGCCAGCGAGCTGGAGCCACCACTTGGGCGGCGTGAAGACGCCGTTGAAGGGCTTGGACTGGCAGTACAGCTTGTCCATGGTCTGGCTCAGGATCGTCGAGCAGTCGACGGTCAAGCGCGCTTGGTCGCACGGCTGGAGACCGACGACGAACCAGAAGACGAGACCCGCAATTTCGACGAGGCCGGCGAGGAGGAAGAGGACATAGAGGGAGCGATACGTCGCAAGACCCTTCATGACGTACTTGCGCACATTCGGAAGGCTACGCTCGATGACGTTGCCGGCGCCGTTCTGCACGATGCTGCTTTCGACGCCCGAGAACCACATGCGGTACTCCTCGTCCGTCTCGGGGCAGAGTACCCAGAGACGGCGCTTGGTGTGGATCTCAAAACCCTTGGTGGGCAGATCCAAGCGCGCCGACGGGCGCAGCTGGAGCGCGTCCTTGAGCTCAATCGCGCCGACCACGAGCTCCGAATTGCGCGTCTGGAAGTAGCGGCGGCAGTCGCCGTCGTTCTGGAAGTAGTAGATCTTGGCCTTCTCGAGCGCAAAGTAGCGCTTGCGCCAGCTCTTGTGGATCGGGCCCTTGAGCGCGCGCTTGCCCTGCTTGTGCATGTAGCCGTGCACCGAGATGACGTTGCTGTCGCCGCTGGCCGATGACGACGGCGGCGTACCCGCGGCCGCGTTGCGCTCCGTGACCTTCATTGGCGGGACATACGAGTAGCGTGGGTCATCGGCGTTCGAGTCGTGGTGGCGCGACGGCTTGTCGAGGCGCACGAACTCGGTCTCGGCGTGGCCGTCCGACCGCATCGGCGTCCCTTGCAGCAGCCGCGAGTCTGTCGCCATGCTCCAATTTCCAAATGAGCGACAATCGCGGTGCTGCAAAAATTCCAAAAGTTGGGACAGCTTGGGCGTTACTCACTGTAGTGTTCGAATATAATACCTTGGACTTTGTATGTGAGGAATAAAAATCGAAGAAGAGATCCAGCTGCCACGACCCTCACGTGGAGAGTGCGTCGTTTTCACTTGGTGTTTGTATGCGGAGAGGAGAGTCGAAAATCGAAGCTTCCCCGCCTTTTTCGAGGGATCGCGCGACTTTGACGAGGAGCGGTGGAATTTTAGCGCGCGTGGTGGCAGTCTCCAGCATCCGACCAAATATACGCCACAAAGGACCGACTAACTAAATCACGCCAAGAATATTAACTCGACTAGACCCGGTGACGCCACACTGCTGTCGCAGGGGTTGGATTGGCCCGTGCACTCAGTGCCACCCGTTGGTGCTGCCTCGCCGCTGCGCCGGTTTAGGCAATAAGAACCCATATAGTACGGCCGCGGACTCCCGACGAGATGCGCGCGCAGGAATCTTCGCTGAGCAATGAGACCGCGGGGGTTGCAGTGATCGCTGAAATTTCAGGCTGCAGTGATCGTGTGCGAGTTTGTAAGCGCAGATTCAAGGCCAAGGGGACCGGTCATCGAGTAGCTAGCATCTCAATTGCTTGGCGTCAGGTCTCGTATCATGCCTGCAAGATTGTTGAGCGAACGGTGGAGATGCTTGCTCGGATGGCGCGAAAAAAGTGAGCCGTCCGACCACGTTCGACGGTGGTGTACTGCGTCGTGTGCATCGAGAGGGTTGTGACGTTCAAACGTCGAAGTGCAAAACTCGACTCGAGTACAGAGCTCGACGCACGTGCAGCGGTCCAGAGCCACGACCAGCTGTCCAACGCCAAGCAGACGGCCATGCGGCAGCCATTCCACTCCAGTGTCTCTTTTGAATACCACCATCGTAATACGACGCGGCTATGCGTCCCAATAAGGCGGTGAGCCGCCAACAGCCTCGGCAGCAAGGCCCTGCGCACTTGCCAGGACGCGTGCTGCGTAGCTGGCTTGGCCCGCTGGTGTAATGCGTTACCGCCTCGGGTCGGTCGAGTCCGTTTCGCGGGCGTCTTGCCCGAGTACTGCGCGGCGCCACTGCCAGCACGCTCAGCTGCGCGCCCGCTAGAAGTCCTAGCCTATCGGTCCCTTGGCTTAGCTCCTTGGCTTGTGGTTCCTGATTCCGGAGCCATGGGTGCGTGCTTGGTGCCACCTCGTCTACGAGCGTAGGACAGTGTTATCCGGCTTTTGTAGATCCTTATCCGGTTCATTAAATCCACCAATAAGGTGCGATATTGTCGTCACAGGACATGTGATTGGTCAGCGGATTTTTGACCAATCAGAGACACCCACCTCACTTTTTGTTTTGGCAGCATGGAGGCCGCCCCGCGCAGTGGCGGACCGGCCGACGTCGACCGCTTGAGCGCCCAAGTCCGCGCGACGGCCGAGAAGCTGCGCAAGCGAGCCGAAGACGCAGCTTCAAGAAATGGCACGCAGGCGTCGACGGCCATGCTTCTCTCTGTCGACCAGCTGCTCCAAGCTGCCGATCTTTTGCAGCTCCAGCAGACCCAGCTCGCGGCACAGGCGCCTCGGAGTGGCGCCATGTCCTCGATGCACATGTCGTCGACCATCCGGCACCTTGTTCAGGTCGCCAACATGCTTGACAAGAAGAGCGACGAGATGAAGGCCAAGCAGGCCATGGGTCCGGCCAATGCGTTGGCCACGTCGGCGTCGCACGTCCGCACGGGCGTCGACGCCCTCGAGCGCATCCACACGTGGATCCACGACCAGCTGGGCGAGGCCATGACCGTCGACTTGGACATCATTGCAGCGCTGGAGCAGATCTCGGGACATGGGACGTCAGCACCAGAGGTTGACGTTGCAGCATACGTTGCCAGCGCCATCGAGCAGGAACAGGTCAAGTACGCGGCCGACATCGGCGTGCTCCAGGCCCAACTCGACGTGCAAGTGGCGGTGGCTCAAGCGTACAAGCAGAAGCTCGATGACACACTCGAAGCCGCCGACGCAGAGCGCGAAGACCTCAGCGCTCGCGTGGCAGCCAACGAGAGCGCACATGCCGCCGCTGTTCGGGAACTAGAGCTAGCGCACGCGGCCGCGTGTAGCGCACAAGCGACGCAGTGCGAATCGCTAGTGGCGGAGCGCGACGCTACCCGTGCTGAAATCGAGTCGCTCACGAGTGAGCTCCGCGCCAAAGAAGACTCGGCGCGCGACGACGCCCACGCCCACGAAGCCGCTCTCCAAGCTCTGCGCGACGACCTTGTCTCACTGCAAGCTACCGCCGCCACCACCGACGCCTCGTGGCGCCAGCAGTTGGACGCACAAGCGGCAGTGCTCGCAGCAGCGTCCGAAGCGTCATCCGAGCGCCCATCGCAGCAGGACGCTGAGCAAAAGCTTATGGACCTGACCGTGTCGGTCGCGTCCTTGCAGGCAGCGCTGGACGAGGCGCGGTACGAGCAGGACGACGTCGCGGCCAAGCTGGCTGCTGCGCTCGAGACGTTGGCTCTAAAAGAGGAGCGCCTCTCGGACCTCGAAGCCACGTTGGCTGCGACGGCAAGTCCCTACGTCGACGAAGTCGGCCCGCCCCAAGTCGACGACTCGCTGCAGCACGAGCTCGCTGCGACACTGGGTCGCGTTACCGAGCTGCAGATGGACGTTCAAGCGCTCGCGGCGCAGCTCGCAGCCCTTGAGGCGACCAACGCCGACTTGCAATCGCGACTCGATGAAGCCAACGCTGCCGAGAGCGCTGCGGCGACACTGCGTGCCGAGAGCGACGAGCTTCGCGCCGCCGTTCAGAGTGCAGAGTCGCTTCAAAGCGCGTCGGAAGCGCGAGTCGCAACGCTGGAAGCTGTCATGGCCAGACAAGCTGCCGACATGGAGGCGCGGGTCGCAACGTTGGAAGCGACGATAGCGTCGCAAGCTGCCGACGCAGACGCGCAGCTCGCCGACATCTGCGCCCAGCGGGACGCTGCGGTGACGGCACACAATACGCTTCAGGCCGACCTCGAAGCAGCGCGCGTGGATCTCCGCACCGTCTCGGAGAAGGCGGCGTCTCTGCAGCAGCAGGTCGTCGCGCTCGAGGCCCAGCAAGTGTCCACGGACGTGCAAGCCGAGTTGATCGAAGCCCGCGCCCAGCTGAGCACGGCGCTCGAAGCGCATTTTGTTCTTAGCGCCAGCGAAGCAGCGCTGCAGCTGGAGCTCCAAGTCGCGCGGGAGGAGCTCCACAGAGCAACCTCGTCAATGGCGTCTCTGCAACTCCAAGTCGACGCGCATCAAACTAGCGAGCAGACGCATGCGGTCGAGCTCCAGCGTGCCGCTGCAGTCGAGGCGCAACTCCGCAGTGAGATCGACACGGTCCGCGCCGAGCTCGCAGCGCGGGATACGACGTGCGCTCGGCTTGTAGAGCGCCAGCGCAGTGTCGACGCGCAACTGTTGCAGTTGAAGGCGCAGGCGCAGGCTGCCGGGGCCGACTGGCATCTCGAGAAGGCCGCAGTGACCAAGCTCTTGCACAACTGGCAGTCGGACCTGCGCGAGAAGTGCGACGTGGTGCTGAGCCAAGTGGTGGCCGGCGACGCCGGCGCGACCGACCTGCAGACGCTCCAGGCGGCGTTTGACCAGTACAAGACGCGGGCTGGCGCGGCGCTCAAGAAAGCCGAGAAGCGCGCGGCGCTCCTCAACCCGATGCGCAGCGCAAACGAGGCGCTGAGTACGCGCGTCGCGGACCTCGACGCCCAGCTACGGGACCAGCAGGAGCGCGTTGAGGCGGCGCACATGGCCGTCGAAGAAATGACGATGCGTGCGTCACCGCCATCTTGTCTCCTCTTAGGTTTCATGGCGGACAAACGTAGGTATGAGCAGTCTCAACGATCTTGCCGCAGCGGTCGAGCAGGCAGCTTCTGCGCAAACCGCCTTGGCGGCCAAGGAGGCGGATATCGAGGGCTTGCGGTGCGAGGTCGCTGCGTCGGCGGCCCAGCTGGACCTGGCCGAGACTGTCGTCGCTGAGAAGGACAAGTTCCTTAGCTCCCTCCGAGAACAGATTCGGGAGCTGCAGCATGCGCTCGAGGCAGCCGAGGCCACCCACGCTGTGGCCCTCGCAGCCAAGGACGCTGCAATTGACGCCGCCGTCGGCGCGCGTGACGCCATCCTCGCTGAGGCCAAGGTTGGCAAGGCAGCGCTTGAAACCAAGCTCTCGGTGCAGGCCGCTGCCTACGACGAGCGCATCGAGCTCATCCACCACGACTACGCACAGCAGCAAGAGGCCAAAAAGGCGCCTGACGTCCCGGACGACACCAAGGTGGCGCTGAAAGAGGCCGACGAACTGCGTCGCGCGACAGACGCCCTGGAAGCGCTGCATGCCGACGAGATTCTTGGCCTCCAGGCCACGCTGCACGCCGAGAAGGAACGCGTCGCAGCGCTCACGAATCGCATCTCGCAGCTTGAGGCATCGCTCGATGAACGGGGCAAAACAACCCAGGCGCTCGGCCAAGACCCAAAGCCGCGCTCGATCGAAGTTGCGTTAGCTCCCTCGGACACGCCGCCGGTGTCTTTCCCGTCGTTCGGTCCGCCGTCCAACCCAAACCCGGCGGCTGCGTCGTCGGACGTGGAGATTCTCCGAGCCAAGGTGCTCGCGCACGAGAACACGATCGCCAGCTTGCAAGAGACTCTGACCGAGAAGCTGCAGCAACTCGCGGCGCTCAAACAGCCCAAGCACGTCACGGTCCTCGAAGACCTCCAGCGTGTCGTGGACGAAGAGCGCGACGCGGTCGCTCAGCGCCAGGGTTGGCACCATCAGCAAATGACGTCACTGACCGACGCTGCCCACGTACGACCTTCGACTCGAGGTGTGTCTTGACCTGCGTCTAGGCGTGGCTGGAATCGGCGCGGGCGCAGTTCGCGCTCCACGAAGAGATTCAATTGTCGCTCGAGAAGCGCGAGTCGCCGCCGACGCCCGACGTGGCAGCCATCGCGTCCGACGTGATGGAGCCCGGTCTTATCTTCAAGAGCGGTGTCGTCGTCAAGGCCGGCGCCAACTTCTCGCTCCCAGTCGTGTGCACCGTCGGGACGGTCGTCGACTGGACCTTCCGCATCGACGAGGTCGGCGGCGATGTCGACTTTTATCTGCGCTTTGTCAGCGACGACGGCAGCCGCCGCGAGGTGCAGCCGCTGGACCGCGTCGAGAAGCTCAGCGGCGCCTTCACCGTCGACGCACCCGGGACGCTCACGTTCTCCTGGGACAATAGCTTCTCGTGGCTCAACGAAAAGACACTCGACTACCACGTCGCCGTGCTCGAGCGCGTCGATGTGGCCACCCAAGCGCACCGGCGCCAGGTCGCCGCCTCGGACGCCGAGCTCGCGAGTCTCCGCGACCACCTCGCCCTCCTGGTATATCGATCGGTGTTGGGATCTCCATTCAACTGTGGTTGGTCTCGCTAGACAAAGGAGGAAGCTGTGATGGCGAACCTACTCGCTTTCCAGGCGACGGCCGCGCCGCTCCTCCAGAACCTCGAGCTCTGTCTCGAGGAGTGCTCGGCCCATCGCGAGGTTCGATTTGCCTCGACGGCGTCGCAAGTAACGACTTGGTCCGTGTAGATGGTGGTGTGTCCCAAGCTCGAGCAGGTTCAGGCGCGCATGGAGGCGCTCAAGGCGATGATCAGCCTCTACGTGGCCGAGCAACACACGCTCAGCGAGTCGTCAGCAACGCTCCACGAACTGGCGGCCGAGATCCGCAGCGAGCAAAGCGACGTGTGCACGACGCACTCGCTCTGGGCGAACCGCGTCACGACCTCCGACGTTGTCCGCGCCGAGATCCAAGCTGCCGAAGCGCAGCGCGCACCCCACTAAGAAGAATCGCATCTTAGACATGCGTTTTGTGGGTTTCAAACGTTGCGACGGAAACGCCCGCAGGACGAGTCATCCCAAGCTACCCAAGACGAAGCGCCTGCAGTTGACCTCGCGCCGGTGCAGCACCCGTCGCAGCAGCAGTCGTACTGTACTAGTATGGTATATTCACTTGCTGCGACGATCTGTCTATGGCGTCAAGTCGACGAGAAGCGCGACGATCTCGGCGTCGATCGCTGCGGGGTCCGTTGCGTCAAATGCGATCGGGTCGAAGCGGGGTGGGTTGTCCAGCAGCAGCGCCAGCACCGGCCACGCGTCGTAGCAGCTGTTGTTGTCGGCGTCGTCGGCCGCGAACGGCACGGGCTCGGGCAGCGCTTTGGTTCTAGCGCGCTTGGAGATGTGTTTCTTCTGGATGATGTTGGCCTTCTGGCGGTGGTAGACGCAAAAGTTGTGCAGCGACCCGTTGCGCTTGCGCGTCCGTGGCTCGAAGCAGGCCTTGTACGCGTACTTGCACCGCTGCTCCATACGTCGCCAAATCCAAAATGCAAGTCGACCGTTATGCGGCGGTACTCCATCGAACCGTTCGATCGCCATCCAGTCATGCTACGAGGTTGCCTCCTCCAACTGCCAGAATGCCGGGTAACTGATGCACGCCCTTGATGACGGCGGCGGGCATGCGCGCTTCCTGCTTCCTTGAGCTTGTCGGTCAAGAGGCTAGGATCGGCGATAGAACCAAATGGTTGTCCAACGGGTGCATACGTACGCGTGGTAGGTACCTGGACCGAGCCGGTCTCGTCCGGAGATTGCGCAACGTTTACCCCCCAACGTCGATGGTTCTCATGCCCGTTGCGCTTCGTGCGAACGCTAGTAAAGGTTCGAGCTCGCTGTGGACGGACGGCTGTGATGATCGACGCTCGCTGCGCCGTCCGATGTGCGAGGATTTCGTCAGGTGACATTGCGCTGGTGGTATGCGCCGACGTTGCGTTTGTTCTGAAGATACTTCTCGCTTCAAGCTCTTCGAAACCCTTGCAGCTTGCAACGTTCGCTGCTGTTCCGGCGAGATTTCGGACTTAGCCATCGGACTTAGCCATCGGACTTGGGCAAGAACCGAGCCGACGGCAGGCCCAAAACTGAGATTGCAAGTTGTCTTCCTGGCGGTTGGGACGGGTTGCGACTTGGACATCGGAGGCTCCTGTTGTCTGCAAACCAAACCCAGGACCTTGCAACGGATGAGCGGAAACGGGAGGCGGCTGGTGCTGTTCAGAGCAGTTGGAACGCGGTGGCTCACGCACGCTGACCGACATTGCATCAGCTGCTCACTGAACCCATCGCGCCACCCAGCTACTCGCAACAACGGGGTGCGAATTCAGTTTCCGATTGGTTTGGATGGACCCAGCGAGTCTGTGCCACTACTCGTACAAGGCGTGCTACAACGTCCGCGACCGGAAGCGCAACGGCGACCTCCACAAGCTCTGCGCCTTCCACCGCTGCAAGGCCAACGCATCGCACCGCAAGCACGTCCTCAAGCGGGCGTCGCTCACGCCACCAGACGACGACGACGCCTTTTACTGTCTAGCGCTCGAGCCGCTTCGGTTCGACGACACGTCATGGCCCACAGTCGACATGGAGACGATCCAGATGCTCCTATCTCTCTAATTGTATGTAAATCAACCTGCAAGTGATCACCTTCGCTCGCTGTGCGGGACGACGGAAACGGGCTTCTCCCTGGTGGGTTGCATAACGAACGGATGACTCGTCAAGGCGCAGCGGCCTCCTCAACGGCGTCAGAGCGTCGTGTCGTAGCAGCAGAAGTAGTAGAAGTACGCGGTGTGTATTAGAGGTGGAGCGATATATCTATGGAACGAGGTCGACGAGAAGCGCGACGATCTCGGCGTCGATCGCTGCGGGG